TTTTACAAGCCTATATCTGGGTATGTGATGAAACTGTGCCATGGCATCATTGTTCATCACTTCTGATGTGTTCAAGCACTGATTATGTGTAGCAGTTCTCCCTTTCAGACTGGCTGTAATTATATTTTTTTTATTCTATTGGCTGAGGTCAGCCAATAGACAAAAAAATCCTGCCAATGGGGAACAGAAGGATGATATAATTGTATCCAGACAGACTGAAGGCAGCAGAGATTGCAAATCAGAATTACGATGGTAATTTTTTTGTTCAAGCTGCTATCTAGGGATTCCTGGAGTAGCGCTTCTCAACCTTTTTTTCAGTCTTGGCACCCTCACGGCATCCAAAAAGATGCAAAATCTTGAGGCATCCCAGTCTAAAATTAAAAAAAATGTAATGAATGATGTGTGGCCCCCTCCAGAATCTGTACTAGACCTTTATTCCAGATAGGGGTCTGGTATGAAATGCAATAAAAAAAAGGGGTCCCTTTTACATCAGACTCTTTCCGGCCATATCAGAGTCACTCTTTACATTAGGAGTCCCTTCACATTAATTGCTCTCTTCTATCACATCAGAAGTCCCCTCTTACATCAGAGCCCAACTCAACATCAGAAGCCCCCCCTTGTGATATCAAAGCCCCCCCACCTTTTTATCTTAGAGTGCTCCCTTCACATCAGAAGCACCCTTTACATTATAGTTCAGGACTGCTCACAGGAGGTAGGACAGTCCTGGACAAATTCTATTCTTCTCTGAATGGAATGCCCCCCTTCCTGGATTAGCATATTTTTGTTTCCATGGTGCTGGAAACGAACACTGTGCAAAAATGTTGAGGACCCCTGAGGGTGCCATGTAAGGTTGCTTGAGGAAGGCTGTCCTAGAGAGCTGTGACATGGCAGAGAGATAAATAAAGGGCTTACTACCTCCTCTATACAAAGGTACTATTAAGCTGGCCATGTACTGGTAGATTTTCATACAAATGTTCGTACAAAAAAAATGTTCGTACATTTTTTGTTCGTGTTCAAAAAATGTTGTCAGAACATTTCATAATGCCATCAGACACTTGTTTCCCTGAATAAAAAACACATTCACTGGTTCCCATCCTACACTTTAGATTTTTTTCGTCACTACAGTCACAAATGATCATCGATTTGATCCCATCAATTATTAGAAAATCAAAGAACGTTCCAAAAAATGTATCTGTACAAAATCCTTCTGGTGTACAGCCAGCAAATGGGATGGGAGAGCAAAAGGAACGGCATGGATCACTTTAAGGACCTATATGATGCAAATGTTTCTGATGGACTTTTATTGGCTGAATATGTAACAAATTAATTTGTTTTAAAGCACACTGCTAGGGTTTTGGCTGTATGTGGTGCCAATGAAAGAAACTGCAAAAATGATTCATAAAAAATAATTCAGCCACCAATCAAGGATCTAATATGCAGAGATTTATTGCAGTCTTGATTGTTAGTACAGCAAAATGGTTAATATTATTTTTACTTGTTTTATTGTGTTTTTGTTTTTTACTTTCAGTTATGGAGACACTCAAATATAGCTTCTTACAGAATACTTAATGTACAGACTCAGTAAGTTCCTTAATAAGCTATTAAAAATGTTTTCCATACTGTATGATTTTCCCTTTAGCATATGTATTTATAGCTGTTTTATAGCTGTTTGACCAGATGATGGAGTAACCATTCTAAGACACATATAAGAACTACTTTACTTGCCAATATATTTCTAAATAAATGCTTATAGTCTAATGGTACAGTTATCAGTCATCAGATTAGGCAGAGTCAGGGATTAAGTTAGAGGATATGTAAGGTTAATGTTGGGTTATAGGTTGGGGTTTAAAGGAAACCTGTACTTTGCCCATGTAATGCCCCTCTACTCAGTAGTGCATATTCATCCTTCCTTTCTCCCCCGCCACTCTGTTGATTTGCTAGATGATTTTTTTAAGCTCCTAGTCACTCTAGTCAGTGAAAAAACAGGGCTAAGGACTGTCTGCCCACCCCTTGTAACAGCAATAATTAACCAGTTAGCCCCGTTAGCCCCAGTACTTTCACATAGTGGACAGACAGTACATAGTCCTGTGTAGACCTGTCTAAGCTCTGAATGCACAGTGTGGCCCTGAAGAAGGGGGAGGAGCCCCCCAAAACACGTTCAACTGCAGGGTTTGTGTCCAGTGTTCGGGTGGGCTGAGTTCCCGATGTGCATCCACAGGAATGATTAGATTTGTCCTTGGGCACCTGTGACTCATTGTCCCTACAGTCTCGTTTTGTGTTACTCTTGTGAGTACATATATTTTCACTTTTTGCTTTTACATAAAGGATTATTGCACCAGGGAGGCGCTTTTCTGTGGTTATATAGAGTACCAAGGTCTCTCTGTCTTGTAGAAGGCTGCCACCTGGTGGGGATCTGGCTTCTGAATTCGAGATCTGATGGTGATACTTTGGCACTGGTGGATGGGTCTTTTAGTAGTTATATAAACCCGAAAATAAAAAAGTAATATGTTGCAACAATGTCCTGTTTTTGGTGACAACACTAACTCAGTATAATGTATTTATGGAGGAGCACCATTGTCACCCTAGGACAGTAAGTTTGTTAGGGCTAAAAAAAATTATCACATCATTAGATTTCTATCAGGATCAACACTTGCACTTATTGAAAAAAAAATAACCAAACTGTTAACAGAACAAAAGGGAGGAAATAAGGGAAGTTTAGTGTTAAAGTTTACATACTGTATGCTTTAAAAGAGAACTATGGGGTTCACCTTTTTTGGTATTTTTCCTAATGATACAGGAGTACATTTTGCAATGTACCCCTGTAATAAAAAAAATCTACCATTAGCTTGCAATTCAATATAATATACCGTGGGCGAAGCTATGCTCAGTGCTGAGACACGATTCCAACAATACTGTCGGGATCCTCCCCTCTCTTCTCTCCCATTGAGCAACAGCGCGTTGTAGGAGCAATTACACGTTCAGGAATACCTGCGCAGGTGCAGCAGCTCTATCCCTACCTTTGTCCTCCATTCCCGTAGCTCTGTCCCTGCCTCCCCTCCACGCTCCTTCTTACCTAGTCCATTTATTGAAGGGCTACTGCAGATTTCCTTTGTGTTATTCCTGATGAGCCAGGGAGAAGAAGAGATTGAGATAGCAGTGTGGAGGGGAGGTTGGGATGGAGCTGCATGGACGCGCGGGCATTAATGGATGTGCAGCAGCTCCTACAAGCCACTGTCACTCAATAGGAGGAGAGAAGAGTGGGAAGGATCCCGACAGTATTGTTGGGATCGCGTCTCAGCACTGAGCATAGCTTCGCCCACAGTATACTATAATGAAATGAAGGCTTATGGTAGATTTTTGATTACAGGAGTACATTGCAAATGTACTCCTGTATCATTAGGAAACTTAGGAAAAATGCAAAAAAAAGGTGTACCCCATAGTTCTTTAAGTTTTAAGTCTCGGTGGGGGCTTAAGTGTTAGTGTCTGCTTTACAGTTACAGATAGGCTGTGGGCATTTTTTATCCTACTTTTTCCATCTTACAAATTTCTTATTTAACTCTTTTAATAAACCTGCACTTAAAAGAGTTAAATACGATATTTGAAAGATATAAAGAAATAAAGATAAACATTTGCATGTAGAACTCTAAAGGGTCTGATGTATAGTTGCAGTATACGCCTAAGTTGTGTATCCATGGAACCCCTTAATTAGAGACACAACATTTCATATAAATCTCCCAAAATTAAGAGTCCTGTAAGCTCACAGAGTACTCCCCATTTACATCCATCCTTTATGTATTAGGCCATTCCCACTTTAAGCCATGTTTCTACTTTCAGCTGGCCGGCTGCAGCTTTATATAAGTACAAATTGCAGGTAATAACAATAGCTAAATGAAGCTTAAAACATGACCATTTGACTTTTCAAAGAGTGAAAGAAACTAAATTAAAGGGTAATTTGATGTGTACCTTAAGCTGTTTCTTTGAGTAATTGCATCTGTTTCTAACAAGATCTGCTCTTTTATCGCATTTTATTATCAAGATATCCATAAAAATTTCCAGGAGTAAGAGATGATAATCACCAGTATCGTAAAGACACAAACAAGAGGCCATAAAGTGTTAATTGCCGTGATTACATGTGTGACATCTCATTAACGTTTTGAAAAATAGGCTTTCACCATCATTTACACAGATTGCATGGTAGGGGGCATTCCACATTCAGAACGTCATCACTCAACCAGCACCTTCCTGTTTTCTTTCCTAGGACGCTTATCACTGGAAATGAATTACCTCAAAACATTCAGTATATTACATGGTCTCCTGTAGGCCATAAACTGGTAAGTCCATTCCCCAGTTATTCATTCTGCACATGAACTCCCTCGCCTCAGCCTAGCCATATAACTAAGCTCTCAGTAAGAGTCTAATGTACTAACAGGGTTCAAAGGCTAAAACAGTACAGATGCGGGGAAACCTATATAGTTGAATAAGCCTAAAGGTCAAACAGTCTAATGGATGGAGCTTTTTTTAAACATTTATGGATAGTTTTGAAGAACAAACAGGAGAAAGATTTGCCAAATTTTTGCAAATGGTGCTTCTGGTTATACGCTTTTCTTCAATAATTGTTCCTTCTTTAGTCACCAAGAAGGTGATAAAATTCTCCTCCAGCAGCCAGAAACACTGCTTAATGCACATGGAGATTTTTCAACCTATTTGTGTGTTTGGAGTCCTGGCCCTCCAATATTGAGGGTATTATGATCGGTTGGATAGGTTTTGCCTTTACTGTCCCACTTACACGTGAGCATTTTAAGTCATGATGTAGTATGCTGCTCCCATCTCAGCTGTTCATGAAGTATACACTGCAAACCTAATGGAGTCAATCTTGCATGTGTTTGCACTGCTGTGCCGCCTTCTTACTGAAATCCTAGAGCAAAAATGTAATACTGTATATTGCAGTTTACCAGACCTTAGACGTGGTGGTTGTATCAGTTTTTTTAATTCTATTCTCCTTTATATGGACCTTGCCAGTAACACATTGCCTGTCCTAGGGTGACAACGCTCTACTGCATCTATTGCAAAATTGCAGAGCAGCATTGCCAACCTAGGAGGAACTACAGAATAGCCCCAGATTTACATATATTTTAAGCCTATGGAAGGCCTTAATATAATAATGTAATTGACACAACATTATATTATTTTTTATTAAAGAGTGTCTTGTTCCAAAAAATTCTTCATCCTGGTGACAGAGTTTGATTTATTTTTATTTTTTACTGAGCATCTATTATTACTGTTATGAGGATACCTACATAGAGCTTTTTGACATTCCTCTTTGTGTTTTGATCTTTATTGCTCTTCCTATTGAGCGTACAACACCAGTGCTTATTATTAATGACGATTAATGTGTGCATGCAATGCTGGGATTATGCTGCTGCATAATTATGGAAAATCCACCTGGTTGGCTACAGGAGCAAGCATGCACAAGGCCGGCATGCACAGGAGATGAGGAGGATCATGCAAGATAGCACTGGTAGCGGCAGGGCCATCCCTATAAGGATACAGCCGGAGGCAGTTGCAGGCTGGCAGCATCTCATTGGCAGGTGGGTGGTGGGGGCGCATCAGTCAGGCAGCCACAGCATCCTTGTTTGCTAAGAGCTCTTAGAAACCGGTGAAGCTCTGTCTGGCTTCTTGCCCAATTCACTGACATCACAGGCGGCCAGGAGCGGAGCAGGACACTGGACAGAGCCGCTGACAGCACGACGGCTCCACCTGACATCCAGCCCCCCCCCAACAATTCAATTAAAGCAACACCCCCATCCACCACCACCACCATACAGTTGCAGCACCACCAGCAACCCCTCTCTCAGGCGGAAAATAGTGTAGGGACAGCCCTGGGTAGTGGTCACTAAAAACTCAAAATGGAACCAACTGTTTGGTCGAAATTCAGGAAACTCAGTGCCACATTATTGCAACAATCTTGTAAGTTGTTTCTGTGTCTTTTACATTCCTAGGCTTATGTTTGGAAAAACAATGTTTACATAAGGAATACTCCAGAGGGGCAGAGTATCCAAATTACCACCAATGGAGAGGAAAACAAGATCTTAAACGGCATACCAGACTGGGTGTATGAAGGTAATTCTAATTCTATATATTAAAGTGATTAGACCAATATATTTAAGGACACTCTTAAAGAAATAACTGCAGGCTCAAAGAAGGAAAGTCTCATTCTTCAGGGGTAGGCAGTCAGAGTGCACAGGGAGGACTGAAGGGACTAAAAACTAACTGCTTGTGTAGATCAGAACTGATAGTGCATTGAGTAATATTTACTGAGTTGCTCATTTTTGATTCTCTGAATATTTGCTTGAAGATCTGTGGCACAACAATTTATTTATTAGTAAATGTAGAACTGCTTGAAATTAGGGAATGGAAACGCTGTACAATATAAATAGAAACAATGTAACTGTTGATTTGCAACAAAATAATATATTTTCTGTTTTCTTTTTGCAGAGGAAATGTTTAGCACTAATTATGCTTTATGGTGGTCTCCAAATGCAAAGTTTTTGACATACGTAGAGTTCAATGATACAGAAGTGCCAATAATAGAATATTCATTCTATGGGGATGATTCAGAACAGTATCCGCAGACTATCCATATTCCATATCCTAAGGTATGTCAGGAGTTAGGATGTGTTAAAAGAAACCTGTACTGACAAAGTGTGTTTTTACCGGCCTTCCCTTTTGAATGTACTATTTTCCTGGCTGTTCTGCTGATCCAGTTGCCTCAGCACTATCTGAGTCACTGACCTTGAATATAGAGAATAGCTCTGACGTCACCCTGACTCTCCCTACCTGCGTTCTTTTTTCCAGGGTCATTGACTACGAAGGTACTAAAGCCAGAGATAGCCAGGCTACTTGCCAGAGGCTACCATGCTCCAACGTCTGCATAGAGGGGGGGGGGGGGTCCCAATAAGGGG